ATTATGTTGAAAATATTGTATATCAAATTCATTTTTCCACATAAAAAATTAATTGGGTGAAATGAACCGAGAAATAATTTATATCTATTGGCTTTCACTAATTAAACTAGGTTGACCACGGTTAGTTTAATATAGTTTTAAATCTCGTTTTTTTTTTCATATTAGATATATTTTATTAAATAAAATTTGAAACCTTCACAAGCTATATGTTAATTTCAAGATCATAATGATGTTAAGTAAATCAATTATTAGATATATAAACATCATCTATCGAGAAAATGAACTAGATGTCAACTTTAAAGTCAAAAACGAAATTAAAAGAAAAAACACTATATCTTTATATTATTTTTACATGAGTCATCATCCATAAATAAAAAATATGAGATCCATTTCTAGTCATTAAATAAGTATAAGTTTTGTGTTTATGATTTAATTATTTATTTTATTTATTATTCTAATCATTGGTCATTCGAGTCATTGATCGGCGGCTGCAGTGTAAAGCAACCGGCGTCAGCGCATATTGTCTATATACAACGTATAATTAGTTGATATCAATTGTATATTTTGATTTGTCTAAAATCATACTTGCATATTTTGAAGTGCATACTTAGCTATCAAAAATAAAAATTATCGCCGAATACAAAGTGCATATATTCTTCGAGGTTATGAATTGTTGTTATGTGATTTCTAACAACGATGTAACAAGTGATTAAGATGATAATTATGAATGATCTGGACGTAAAGCATGTAGAAATAACTCAACAATGGCCCCGGTCCGAGGTGAACCGAGGTGAAGAGCCGTGATGGGCTTTTACGTGTTGCATAATAAAGTTTTTTCAGTTCGGAGAGAGATAAATCGATCCCCCCTACAAATGTCATAGGTTCACTATTTATAGTAATTTTTGGGGGAATACATTGGGATTTGTGCACTACTTTTCGGATAAAGTAACTTTTTTGTGGGCGGTTTGGAGCAGTGGGTCCCACATGAATGATGACGGATCTCGTAGAGCGTGATGGTAGTGCGTAGGCGCCTTGTCACCTGCTTAAGGAGGTGACGATCTCGGTTTAAGTAGACCTCGGTAGGTGCTGACCACTTCGGTCTTCGGCAGTTCGGTCCGGTTCATCGCCTGGACCGGTGTGGTGTTTAAAATCACGTCGGTTCAATGGTCATTTTTCTCTTAATATGATGTTTGGAACCTCTTAATGGTGTTTTACCGAATCGGATGATAACATGAATGAGAATAGAAAAGGAAGAGGTGCAAAAAGAATGGCTAGGAAGTTAAACCGCATACTTAGTTATCAGAAAATACCTATTTATCAAAGTGAATACATTCTACAAGTATAAAGCAACCAAGATCTTCATCTTCATTGTGTTCACCGCCGTCGGAATTGTCATGGGGCTAAGTCTTCTTCGTCACCGTGTGTGTCAGCATGAAGTAGGTCGGCTAGTGCTTCAATATACATGAAGTATGAAATTAACATATTGCATATGCAATTAATATCAACTGAGTAATCTTTATTTCAACAGTTAGAAGGCTTCGAACTGGTTGCAATGTTGAATTAGAGAGTTACTACTATTCAAGTAAAATGAAAATTAAAATTAAAAAAAAAATGTTGTGCGACAAACAGTGTCGTGCTACATGTAGCGCGTTACTATTCATATCTTCAACGTACTGCGAAAATATAGTAAAACTTTGGAGGGATTGCACAACTCTAAAGTAAAATTGTGATCTAAAGTAGCATTGGAATTACTCTTAGTTATTATATTATAATTATAAATAAAGTAGAACTAGAAAATAAAAAGCTAATTGAATGGAACAATCCATATTATGAGGAGGGTTACAAAAGTAAAGTATTCGAACAAAAAAAACAAAAAAAACCAATAGTTTCAACATTTCAACACAATTAATTGAACAAATGAAAATGATGAGGTGTTATTAAGGTTAATTAATAAATAAACTAAAAGTGACTTTCCATAGTTCGGCCTCATAATTTTTAACTTCTGAATGATGTTATGTTATTAATTATAGAGGCCATTCATCCTTTGCCGTTAGAAATTAGATTTACATTAAACAAAGCCTCTGTTAAAATTCATTAACTAACACAATATTTTACTTAAGTCAAAATTAAAATAAAAATTTTAAAATTAAAAAAAATGTGATCATATTTATAGGAAATGTTACAGTCCCGTTACGGAACCATTCCGTCGGAATTTGTAACTGTTAGATCAACATGTAACCGTCGTTAATAGTTGATCTAACGTACAAAACCCGACAGAATAATTCCATAACAAAATCACTAATATGGGTGTGGGGACGTGCTTGAAATGCTCAAAGACTATTCTATTCTTGGGACTGATTATTTGTTATTGTATTGTTTTTTTGAAATTTGAAATGAAAAAGGAAACCCCTTTCTCCCCATCTCCATATATATGTTTGTAGACATTATTTGCAAACTGCAATTGTATATGGGCAACATTTTTCTTGAAATTACAGTGCAAATACAACAACACTCCATCTCTTTGCTTCAGCTAAAGAAAGGAGAAAGCTTTCTTAGCTTTCAGTTATCCAAATCCCATCTTGTAAGTCTCTTTTTTAATCCCTTAAACTTCCTCTTTCTTTGCATTTAAAACCGCTTTTTTGTGATAAAGATCGCATTTTTTTCTTCTCCTATCAATCTGGGTATTCTTTTGAATTTCGTCCCAATTTGCCTGACTGTATCTGTCGAATGTTTTGTTTGCTCTGGTTTTTGGTATGTTCGTACAGTTTTCTAACAGCTTCGTGTGTAGTTTTCCCTTGTATTTAACGTTGTTCGGAGATCAGAATCACCGTTTTTCGTTTCTGGGCATGCGTGATTTTCCTCTTTCTTGGATGTGTTTTTGAATCTTGTTTTTGTTTCTTTGAATTTGTTTGGCAGTTATGTTTTTGGTTCGTTTTTGGGGGAGATTTCAATTTCCGGGAGAGGCTACGGTCTGGTTACGGAACCATTCCGTTGGAGTTTGTAACCGTTAGATCAACTAAGTTACATGATTACCGAACGGTCACAAATCCCGACGGAATGGTTTCGTTTACGGGACAGTAACATTTCCCTCAATTTCAAGGGCCATTTTTTTTTCTTTTGTTTTTCCCTTGATGAAAAGCAAAATCAACTTTATTGTCGTTATGTCTAATTCTCTTTGTTCCTTTTCCCTTTCAATCCGCCTTTTGTTTGTGTTTTCATGATATTTTTTGTCTGTTTATATATAATTTTTGTCATTGGATGAGGCCTACAGACTATAACCATAATGTTGTTTGTTATAATTGTGTCCTGTCCCGAAACAATATCTGTGTATTTATCAAGTTTTTTTTTGAGTTCCCATTAGAAAACTACACAGATTTTTCTTCCTTATATGGTTTTGTTGTGTGTGTGCCTTTAAATTCTAACCTATTTGCTCCAATTAGTTTCTTCTATTGTTTCTGTGAGATTCTTGCTAGTATTTTAAAAGCTCTAGTTTCTTGACAGGCAAAAATAACAGCTTTATAAGATTACCCTTGTTAACAAAAGGATATGGGGGATCACTTTGTTTTGCTGGTCGATCGTTTGTTGACCGAGTCGACTTTAGGGGCCGCCATCGAGAGCCAAAACTTGTTAAAGCAGGAAAAGTCGGTGATAATTGATGAGACATTCATGGAATGTTCGGCTCATGAGAAATGTGAAGCTAGCAGTTTATCCCCAAGGAAGTTGGTCGAGTGCAGAATTTGCCAGGATGAAGATTTCAATACGAATATGGAGGCTCCTTGCTCTTGCTCTGGGAGCTTAAAGGTTTATTTTTCCCCTTTTCCTGTTGTATTCTTGCTAATGCTTTTGTCACGGATAATGTATTGACTCCATTAGTTGCTAACCTTATTTAGTACTTTATTTTCCGATGTTGAAATTGCTAAAATCAAAGAATTGTGTTTTCTTGTTGGGATTTATGATCTGTCATGAATAGGGGTTGGGTCCAAGGCTTTGTTAAAGATTGTGTTCTTACATTTTTTATGCGATAAAGTTTTGTTATAGAGAAGAATGTTTATACATGGACCACTTTGTTTTTTCCCTTAGGAATTGAGTTTATTGGAAAAATATTGTAAAATGACTTGTAGGCTTTTGTTTAGCCTCTTTGATAATGTGATGTATCGTTTTGACAAAACCTTTTCTTGAACGGACATTTTTCTCGTTTCTCACTTTTAGACAAAATATGTGGTCAATGGCTTTGTGTAATGCTACACGATGTCGATTTACTTGACTTTGATATGATGCAGTGTCTCTTACATTTCTACTTGATCTCATGCAACCTTATTTGCACTTGTGCTTTGAAAAGGGTGAATATTATTAGTTGGAAAAATTGTTATTAAAAAAAAATAATAATAATAAATAAATAAATAAAATCTTTTGAACCATTATCATGCTTTAATCTTCTGCTTACGCTTCCAATTTTCTTTATTTTCAGTATGCTCATCGGAAATGCGTACAAAGGTGGTGCAATGAGAAGGGTGATACCATTTGTGAGATATGCCATCAGGTGGGCCTTATTTTCTTACTGTTTTCTTGGGTTTATACTAAGCACAAGTATTAGTTATTAAACCGTAATACAAGTTTTTAATATTCGGCGTATGCTTATGTGCGCAGTCTGATTTTGTTTGTTTTTATGCAAATTGTGCAGCAATTCAAGCCAGGATATACAGCGCCTCCCCCAATATTTCGATTCGGTGGACTTCCCGTGAATATAAGGTAGTCTTTTTTTTTTATGAAAAATGAAAATAGAAAATGAGAGATATCTTTCAACTTGATGGTGTTATGTGGGTTTTGGAACTTATGCATTAGTTTTAAAAGTTTTCCTTGTAAGTGAATCGAGTTTATTGTTATCACAGGGGAAATTGGCAAATTTCTAGAAGAGACTTGAACAATCCTCACATTATTGCTATGGTCTCGACCGATCACAGTTTACTGAATGCAGATTATGATGATTATGAGGTTTCTACATCACGTACCATTGTTTGCTGCCGCTCGGTTGCCATAATAGTCAGTCTCTCTCTCTCTCTCTCTCTCTCTCTCTCTCTCTCTCTCTCTCTCTCTCTCTCTCTCTCTTTCTCTCTCTCTCTCTATGGTGTGTGCTTAATTTTCTCTTTATTATTTTTTTTTCCACATTTCTCTTCTGCAGTTTATGATTCTCTTAATTTTGAGGCATACTCTTCCTGTCATAGTTAGTCGAGGAGGGAATTACTCGTTCCCACTGATCGTGGTAAGATAAATATATTACAAAAATAAAGTGAACGTAAATTCATGCTTCATATAAAACACGAGCACAAAAATTTTCTTTAAATTTGGTTCTTGTTTGTTTAACAGCTATTAATGCTACGGATTGCTGGGATTATTGTCCCGATCTGTATAATACTGAAAGCAGTCACTTCCATTCTACGTCGACGACAACAGGTAAAACAACTAGCTCATATAGTGTTTATTATTTTTCGAAAAATTTAAACTTTTTTTAATGATTTTTGCTTGGAGCATATGCTAACAAGTGTTCGTGTTCGATTGTGATTGATAGTCTAATAATGTGTTGACCTCTGTGCCCGATGAGGAAGATGGTCAACTTACTTTGCACCACCCGCGTGTGATTACCGTGCAATGAACATGGAGATTATCGAATTGTTCGACTTCTATGATTGTATTCGGTGTATCGGGTTTGAATGCCGATTATGCGAAGTTGTGGTTTAGATGTTATCAAATGATACAATCCACTGTAAATTTATATTATCCATGGAAGAATATTTAGAAGAAAAAGAAATGGAGCACCAAGTAGATTTTTTAGGATGGACAACAAATGTTAATGGTGTATATTAAAGCATATTGAAAAAAAAAAAAAAAATTGCGTGATTAATTTTGGGCAATGCTACATGTACAATTGTAGTTTACAACATTAGTTGACAATCTTAGTTAAAAGTATCATTAACTCAAATCTTAACCATACATTTATTTGAATTTTAACCACTCATATTATGCACATAATGTTGTCATTGAATGTCGTACAAAAATATTGTGCAAGTAGCTTTTTCCATTAATTTTTCCTTGTTTTGTTTTGTGGTTGTGGACAATTGTGGGGAGTTTTATATTTTTTTATTTTTTTTTCGTTTTGTGGCGTGTTGTAGATTCTAGGCAACCTAGTGTAGTCCTTCTATTCTCGACTATTCAGTTGGCTGTAATTATGTATTTTAATTAATGAATCTATCGTCGAAAAAAGAGTCAAGGAGAAGTTCTATACCAGTTAGGCACAAATATAGGTTAAATTCCTCAGCATACATACATGTCATTCTCAAACATTGATTTTCAGTATTTTATTCTAATTTATACAAGAATAACTATTAACAATCAATTCTTTGCAATGAAATATATAAATATAAATGTTTTATTTTTCTCGAATTAAGATATTAACTGTAAATCCCTATCATTCTTTGCAGTCACAGACTGAGAGAGTCAAACATGTCCATCTAACTGCAACACCTACCTGAGAAAATGCCACCATTTTCAGTTTTCACTCAAAAAAAGAAAATTAAACCGAAAATATTATCGCGCTTCAAATTCATTTTCATTGAACTGAAATCGAGATGGAGCTTCGCTCCATTCGACATTTTTCCAAATACTATAAAAAAAAAANAAAAAAAAAAAAAAAACCAGCAATAGTCCCACCTTATGTATGCACCAACTCCACCTAAAAATCTAACCTAAGCTATATTATTGTTATTATTATCATTATTTTTTCCACCTATCCTTAACCTTAAAGCTATACCGGCAAACACATCCTCCCTTTGGGGGCGGTTTGCGTAAATTATCCAAAGTACGAGACTCAACATCACACCAACCGAGATCAAAGCTAAACCAACATTCACTGTATGAAGATGGTGCTCCAATGGAGGGCAGTAGCCTGAGGTGATTCTTACGAACGTATCCCTCACGAAATCACAGTTCTGCAGACTAAGTAATGGTGGGGCGTAGTGTTGCAGAGCGTAGCTAACGTTAACAGCTGCCACTAATTCTGCATACATTTTCGGAGTTAGTCTCCCGACTGTAGTGCAAAGTCCGTCTGCTGAGGCCAAGCATGTGAAGTTCTCCCAGACCTGTGTTCACCAATAATAATAATAATGACTACTAAATTAAGAAAATAATTTTGTTTTTTCTTACTTATAATACTGAAGTTTCAAGACTTAGTTCACATAAATATCCTATCATTCTTCTCATAATAGTTCACATAAAGACGTTCTAATTACCAGCGAAGCATTTTGCATCGAGAGTTCTTGATCCGAACAATTCCTATCTTGGAGATTGGAGTCATACAGGTAGCAGAGATGAGGTATCGACGGCCCTGACTGATTGTAATAAACTGGGCCACCAGCCTGAGGAGGTGGATTCGAATTCGCAACGGAGTCAACAAACCCGTTAACCATATTCACAATGTCGTTAATCACTTGTTTGCTCTTGAAAAGAGTCTGATTGGTGGTTTTTTGGTCGACACACGGGAGGATATTGCTCAGGGCAGTCTCGGCGTGGGGGTTCTCGACCCACTCCCCCATGGCCATGCATGTATCTGTAATTGTACTATAAAAAGAGAAGGGAGAAAAAACACTTTTTTAGACCATGTAAAGCTTCTGAAATTATTTAAAAAAGAAGAGGAAATTTTTAAGACGAAAATACCAAAAAGTCCAGTTATATTTGAGAATAATGGTCACTTTTTTTAATTCATCACAAAACTGCACATCTTATGGTACAATTTGTAATAGATGAACAACCCTTAAGGGCCTATATGCAATTTGGAAAGACAACCGAGTTCTCTTTGTAATTAGGCTAAATTTCTGGGGTATCTTTTTAGTTTACTCGAAAGGAAAAATGCAAAGCAGGAAAACAAATGTACAAGCAAAGGTTTGGATGGTCAACTTAAATCTACCTTGCTGAGGCAGGCATGTTGAGGGCATAAGAAGTTGAGTACAATGACGAAATATCAGAGTGTGATAAAAAAAAAAAAAACATCAACAAAAAAGTGTAAGTAGATTGTCAAAATAACTCACTTGTTCAGAATAACAAAAACTCCACAAAGGATGAAAGTGACCGTCACAAGTAACCATCCACTGATAACACACCTGCACGAATATGATATATGCGGTGAGAAAAATGAAGTATAAGAGGCCTTCCAAATGCCATTGTATTACATAACACACATAAAAAAAAAAAAAAAAAAATGATAAAACTCACATGTGTATCGCACGCTGACGTCCAAGGAGAGACAGAACTGAAGTAGAGGAAAAATATAATTAAAAATCACCACCATTACGAAAAAAAATAAAAAAAAATATGATTCATATAAATAGGTCATGATTATTTTTCTTTCTTTTCTTTAAATGATTACATACCGAGACCTATAATAGTTATCACAAGCATAACTGCAGTAACAGTAATTAGTGCTGATCGCCTGTAACAAACAATCAGCCAGTCATTAGATACTGCAAAATGGATGAATGAAAGTTACTCTCCATTCTATATTAAATCTTTTTCGTATAAAATCATACACCGTATTGAAGACTTTCTCTATTCGGCTCGAGTTGTCGCTCGTCTGCTGTTCCAACGTGTCTGCTGCTGTATTCAGGTCCACATTCAACCTGTCAATATCGCCTTTGACATCTGAAGGAAGGAATATTTGGGCCACACTGACATTTTTCGCCACTGAAAGATACCCTGTTACATTTCTAAGTGTCTGCACAGTGTACTCTGATTGGTTCACGACAAAATCCAATGTGCCCAATGCTTCTTCATGGAAGTCATTCTGACCCACAGAGAGCAAAATACACCCAATCCTGTTGGCAAACAATGTTGATCAATAAAAGCTATGATGCAGCATGTTAATGAGCTGGGAAATATAATACAGACTTGATGTGTGAAGTCTAGGCTTATTAGGAAACAATACTCCAAATCTGGAAAAGCTTCATCGCATAATGTCCCTTCGGTGTTTAAAACAAATACCTAAGAAAAATAAATTACCCTAAAACAGACATGGTGGGTATTTGCAGGCAATCAGGTGTTTTTTTTTTTAATTTAATATATATAATATTGCAGAATGTAGGTAGAGAAGCATAAGGTTTTAACTGCTAATAAAATCATCACAATGATGCCAGTTGCATCAAACATTTTAAAGTTCCTAAAAGAGACCATCACACAGTTGAGGGTAAAGGCCCAAATTGCACTCTTTTTCTTGGCAGAAAGTATTTCGGGTTTTGTTGATTGTAGACACAAAATAAACTTTTGGAAAAATGTATTTGTGACTGAATAAATTCTTTAAAAAATTGCATTCTTTCAAAACACTCGCCCGATACAGAAATGCATGAAGTACACAAATAAAGAAATACGAGTTGGCCATTAATTTAAGACCAAAATTTATGGATGAATGTAATTAGATGATAACTTAGCCAAAGCACCACCAAAGCTTAAAGACTTTCAGATACTTTTTATTTACTAAACAAAAAACGTGAGTTGAGATTATACGCTGCAGCACTTGTAAGCAGAAGAAGTAGCCAAAGGCAGATCCTGTGGGGCCAGCTCGACTCTTTCCCATTTAAGTCTATTTTCCATCCACAGCAATAAAGCACCACGAGAGCCAACCCGAAAGAAACAAACCACAAGACAGCGATAATAAAAGCCGCTGAACCTGTAAATCCCACAGACTGAGAAGAATAGTCAATCGCAATGTTTAAGAGAATACAATCTGAATTTTTGTTGGGTAACAAAAAAAAAAGTTGGTTTCAAAGTTACATAACAATTTACCGTTCACCACAATCAGTGAGCGTTAAGTAAACATATTATATACTTCCCAAATATGCGAATAATAATATGACACGTGAAAACATGTGTCAGCAACATACATTCCCTCCCGATCAAATAAATTTAACATAAACGATTCCTATACATACAATCCAGAGTATAACACTCCTTTACCCATAAAAAGTTAAACAGAAAAACGGCAACGTGCTTATTCATAGATCAAGTACCGATCCATGAACATAAATCCAGAAAACAAATGAATAACTGACAACACTTTGCAAGAATCAAGATTTATAATACTACACTAAAATAGGAGAAAGTTCTAGCTAAATGTTCGCTATATCCTTCAACATGATCATGCTCCTAAAAATCCAGATCAAAGCAACTTCGTGCAAAAAGTTATGACAGATAATTGATTAATAGGAATGTGATGTTGAAGCTTACAGCCCAGTAGTGCTTGTTGGCAATGTCCCATCCACCTCTGTATTTACGGAACCTAGTAAGAATGTCCGGCCTCTTTGTCCTGTTCTGCGCCAATACGAGTTTGCTCACCTCATAGGCCGGCCCTGGAGCTTCTGCATCCCAAGACCCCAGATTTTCTTCTCCTATATACAGGTCACCTTTTGATCAAGACAACAACCAAGAAACAAAGGAACAGGAAAAGCAACAGATAGTAAAGAAGATAAAATTAAATCTACTGTCACTATTTGAAATGAAATTTAGCCACAATTTTCACACTTCATCAAGATTGATGCCGACATTTTGTAACTTCACAGTGAAAATTAAATATTCCAATTATTCAGATGAAAAGTAAAAGCACACATCAATATCGTTCAAGATTATTCACTTATTAGATAAAGAAAAAAAGGAACCCTGTTGCCATAAATGACGTTAAAATGAACACTTTAACCCCCACAATTTATTACCATTAACAACCAAAACAAAAGTAGCAAAATTGGAGGAAAAAAACAAAAAAAAAAAAACGCATCAAATCCAGCTTCAGCAAATCACCAACATGAATTTAAAGAATCCGAGAATAAAGTAACATAATACTAACCTAAAATGGACTTCAAAGAATCTCCGGCGTGAGAGACAACAGTGGTCGAGCTCGAGAAAATGGTGACCGCCGCAAAAGCAACGGCCAAGGCAAAAAATGCCCTCTTTTCCATCTTCCGGCAGCTGCAAATCTCACTGCACGGACCGCATATGAAAGCACCGCAGAGTCACGCGGCAGCCCTTTTGCACCAAAAACACACAAAA